CCCCAAAACCCCAAAACCCCAAAACCCCATTCCTTGCAATAATATATCATAATTAATCCAAAATGAGGTCAAGAAGTTCCAAAAAGAGCAGCCCACCAAAGACCTATCAAAAATCTCAAAAGAAAGAAAATAGGTCTTTAGGTCCAAAATTACCTCTAATTTCACCATCCTTCATTAAAAATCATATCTTAGGCAAGCAATCCTCACTTCGAGTACAAGAATTCAAAGAAAAGCTTGACTTACAAGTAAGTTACACCCTTATTCCCAACAGAAGCCAAAAATAATATTCCTAAAATAAGACCGTTAAAGCTCAGAAACGGCTCATTGAGTACCTCCAGGACCAAAATCAGTCCTTGACCCTCGAAAACCAGCATCTTAAGCTTCAAATAAAACAGAGTAAATCAAAATTAGACGTTTTATCCAGAAAGCCCTTGAACAAAGTAAGCTCAACACATGTAAATCCCTTCTAGGAGAAGTAAGGAAGAAAAGTACGAGATAACTCTTGATAAAAATAAATTCTCAAGGTAAGCCTCCAGCTGGACCTCTCTAGCATCCAGTCTGAAAGCTGTGATGAGTTCTGTAACTCTCCTACCCTCAAGGATGATTCAAGCAAGAATATCAAGAATAAGAAGGAAAAGTATGCCTGTTTTTGTAGTTTCCCAATCCATGAATCATAGTGTAACTTCCTATGTAGAAGAAGGAGCCATTTCAAGATTTTCAAGCCCAAAGATCCTAGTAACAAAAGGAGTTACAACCGCTTTCTTAGTAAAAAGATGACCGATCAGATCAACTTCGAGGTTGAAGGGAAGGAAGCTTTTAATAACATCCTTGAGATTCAGAAAAATAGTAACTTTAAGAGAAGGGTCTCTATCCAACCTATTTCTGATTTCAAGTTCAAGAACTCCTTGGCAAGCAATTTAACTGACGAATTTTCTAAGCCAATGTCTGCTCTTCCTCAAGAAGTCGCTGATAAGGATAAATAAGGTCAAAGTTTTCTTTCAAAAATGCAGTGAATCGGTTACATCAGTCAGATCAATTCTAGAAATCATCGTAGAATTGACTAAATGCAAGAGCAAAGAGAATTTCATAAAGATCTTAACCATAGAAGCTCCTAAAGTGCTCAATTGAGACCATATGTTTTACGCCTTCACTGGTATCGGACAAGTTGCTGACCCAGATTCGTCAATCTCTTGAGATGACAGTACTACAACTACTGAAGTTCAGTTTAGAATTCTTAGACATAACAGAAGTTCAATCTCATTCCCTATCACTGAGGCTGAGCTCTTTAGAAAAGCTAGCAGAGACAACCAAATTATCATGATAAACCGAAGAACTGATAAAAATCTCAAAATTAAACCAGTAGAGGAGCTTGTTGGAGAGGAACTTCGGAATATAATTGTTAGTCCAATTGAAGGTAAGATTTTTCAGCCTAGTTAATTTTCACCCAGAAAGATATCATCATTTAGGAGAGACAACTGGAGTCCTGGTCTCTATCAACAAAAGAGGGAGGAAAACATTTGACCAGAATGACCTTGCACTACAGAAATACTTGACTTCAGCCACAGGAAACCTTCTTAACAGGCTTAGAGAGGAGGAAAGTCGAATTCTTTCAGAAAACTCATTCAGATCAATCATAAATTTAACTAAAGATCTTTCTAAATTTCATGAACTAGATGAATTCACCCTTGAATTGAAAAAGAGAGCTCAGGAGCTATTTAAAGTCGACACTGCTAAAATTCTTATTTGAGACAAGACCTCAGCAGACCTAGTAGAGTTCGTCAAAGAAGATAACCTTATCCGAAGATTACAGCATAATTCAAGTGGAAGCTTAGCTAAAGAGGTCATCAAAACAGCTACTCATAAATTCTTGATAAAAAGAGTCGCAGGATGCGCCTATAATGAAACAGTTGATCTAGCAACAGAATTACCAATAATCTGCTTGCCAATTCTCAATCCACTAATCGAACTTCACTCAGAGTATCTTCCTACAAAGCCCATTGAAGGGGTACCAAACAAGGTAGTCCTGGGCGTACTGCAAATAATCAACCCGCGGGCGATAACGATGGAGTACAACTTGATTCTCAAGAGAGCTGAGCTAGAAATCCTATCTCAGTTTCTGGAGCATGCTAGCTATAGCCTCACCTCAATCTTATCAAATTAATTTCAATAATTACCTAAGGAAAAGGGGTTTTGGGGTTTTGGGGTTTTGGGG